TGTGGCCCCCAAAAGGTTTTTGTGTCGCATTTTGCAAGTGGTTCAGTGGGGCAAATGGTTTTGGATGATACACTCACCATTTTGCAGCCGGCACTAGGCACTACCACTCATGGTTAAGTATCGATCTCTATGATGGTAAGTAGTCCAAATCGCCCACGGAGGCCTGTCCCAGATCGAGATCAAACGGGATCTGGTGCGCGCGAAATTCAAAGCGATTCAAATGCTCCGGCGAGTTGCAAAGAACTAAACTCGATGGTACGTGCTTTGCGCCATTTATACCAACACCGCTCTCTGTTCTTCGCTCTCGCCAGCTACTGATAAGGATAACGCCAAGAGAACCCCTCATCTCCCCCAGATCCCCTCTCTGTAGACGCTTCTCTGTCTGGGCACAGTTGCACAATCGATGAGGGAGGAACCCTCTCACTCTCACGCTCGCCACCTCATTATCGAAATAAGTTCAATGGCTCAAGCTCTCTCAGGGTCTATGTAACACGAGTGTAAATGTGTGAGATTTGGTTTTATAGTTGGGGTTTTTGGGGGTCTTTTGGATTTTAGTTTAGCTTAGCATTAGCTTGTAAGTAGATGAAAACATGATTAAAGGACATGATTTAAAGGAAAGCAAATAAATAATGTTTCAATAGGGTTCATTGCTATAAATATTTTCTTAATTTACGCCATTTGTAGTTTAAAATTTATTTTAGTTTTTCTAGGTATTCAAAAGGTAGCAGGTTACTATACGTAGAACCAATAATGTACCTAGTATACAATGGTACCATTATATCATTTATAATAAATAAGGTCTCATTAGGTTTTTGGTTCTATAAATATTTTCTTAAGTTACTTGTAGTTAATAAGTTTTTTTTTCTAGGTATCTATAAAGTTCCCGGTTACTATACCTAGACAAATTTATTTTACTATACCTGGTGCCCAATGGTACCATTATATTATATATGTAACAAGTGAAGGGTTAATAGGATTTTTAGGTACCGTAGAGTCTCAAATATGTCTTTCCGTATTGAATAGAAACAGAAAAAGCAGAAACTATAGGAGATAAAGTTAGTAAAATTTCAAACATATATAATTGAGTACAATGGTAAATATCGGATTATTAAGTATCAGTTTTTTTGTCTCCCTCGCCAAATTTTTTTTTCTTTTGGTTTTTAATTTGCACAGCTTTTACTAAATAAATAAATATAATATTCATTTAAAGGAATAAAATGATTAAGGTCTAGTCTATAGCTTATCTTCCGAATTCTATTCGTTTTAAATCCCTTAAATAAATTCTCTGACCCTAAGGGTTCTTCCTCTATTACTTAAAATTCTATTTGATGTCAAAGCAACCTTTGCTACTACTCAAAGGCGCTTCCCAAACACTTTCGCCCAAAACAAAGACTTGAAGACGTCAATTAAGTGACTCACTTGATATGCCAACACACATACTTTGTGAAGCCTGAGTGGGTCAACCGGGAACAACTTGTAAATTGGCGCTGATAACAATGCCAATGACACAGGGGATCGAGTGTGTCTGGTCTTGTGTCTGGTTTAAGGTGTGTGCATATGTATATCTTATCAAGAACAGAAGCCATTAGCAGGTGTCACTTGAAAACATTTCTCTCAGCATAATTCCTTCACACGGGTTCTTTTTATTTACAGAGTGTTGATAAGAATGCGGGGGAATGCAGAAATAAGTGACGTCTCCTGGATCCAGTTGGTTTCAATTAGTTTGCGGCAGTTGCATTTGCGTAGTTCTCGCAAATCCCGCTTCCAGCTGGCCTGTCAAGGTCACTGGAGATTAGGAGGTAGGGAATATAACTATTTAGTTCCATGGCATATAATATTTTTATTACTCGCAGCCAGTGGTCTAGCCATTCCGATTAGATAAGGATTTCGAGTGGACCAACGACAGCCTTCTACAAGTGCTTCGGTATAAAGTTCGCTTTTACATTTATCTTCTATATTATATACATAGTTATAATGAGCAATCTATGTATGTACAAATAGAAATATTCTGAATATCATGTGTTCAGGTCTGGCCAGACTTTATTTAGGGATCTTATCAAAATGGGCAATAAAAACGAAATACGCGTGCCGTTCACTCAAAGTATGAATAAGTACATACAGATAATATATATGTACAAAATCATAGACAACATTTAAATGTTATTAATTTTGGAATTTGAACTGTTTTTAAATTCATGCCTGTTTATATTCTTATCACAGTGGGATTTTTCAAATAATTCATAGCAGTTTTATAAGCTATGTACATACAAGTGTTGTATGGATTATTGCGGCTTTGTGATTTTGGGAATAAAGAGTATATAACTGAGTCATTGTGGATGTTTTAACTTTGGGGTAGGTTTAGGCAATCAATTATGATTAATTTTAAAAGCTGTAATTATCATGGTAGTCCTAACCTTGGATGGTGTGAAAATTCGAGTTTTCTTAGATATACAATCTATGAAAGTTGATTATAAAGTAATTTATTTTTATTGTTATTGATTATTATCATAATTTTGAAAATTAATGATGATACTAGAACTAAAAGGCTTAACACAAATTTAGAATTATATTATTTTCCTGGAAATTCACCTAAATTTAAGATTTAAAAATGAAATTAAATGAAAATGAAAATAAAATACTAAGTTATACATTAAAAATAATAACATTGGAATTTATTGCTTAAACTTAAAACGTAATTATAGTTTAACATATAATAAAACATATCGAAAACTATTGCCTACTTTTTGGGGATTCCTAAAGGGAATTCCAAAGAGAAATTAAAACTACGACAGTTAATGTAAAACCTATTTTATAGATTTAAAAATTGGTAAGTGGGTATGTAAAAAAAACTTTAAAGCTCCTGTTGTGTTAAAACCTAATATTTGATTGGAAGAGGAAGAGATATAATAATAATTTAAAAAGGCAACACATCTATAAGCATTCATTCACCAAGTTATATTCCAATCAATATTATTACTATCAAGAAGTGGAATCTTTTGAAATCGGTAAATTCCGGTTGCTTGTGATTATATTACGGGCTTTCTTTCTCTGACAAGAGCTTTTCACTTTAATCAGAACAGATCTTTTGTGATTGTTGAGAATTATATACACAACGCCCTCGGAGCTCGGATACACAAAGAACAGTTATAGTAATTAAAAAACCATTTCTGCTGTCACCAGCCCACAAACAGGCACACACCCTGGAACACACACACAAGTAAACACATAGGGCACTTGAATAAATTACATGCTAAAGACCCCAGTCTCCCCATATGGAACAAAAACCAGGCACAGCCAATTTCCTAGCGACCTCAAACCCAAACAAAAACATGCGATGGCGTCAACAGGGGGGAAGAGAACAAGGGATAGGAAGTGAAAGAGAGAGCAATGAGAGTGAGAAATACTGAGAAGGGGAGAAGAAAAGAGCGCACAATGGCGGGTTTGACTTTTCCATCTCTCTCGCTCGCACTCATCGGCGGCTTGGAGCAAATTTGTATTTTTGTGTTATAAACTGCAAGTCCAAACACAAACCAAATAAACAAAAAGAAAAGAAGAAAGATTAAGGAAAAGAAACACAAAAACCAAAGACCAAGACGGAAAAGCTAAACAAAGGAAATTTTACTCATGAAAAACATCGAAAAGCGACCTGCCTCCGTTGTTGTTTTATCAATAAGCTTAAAGATTTGTTGTTGTTGCAAAATGAAAGGCAAAAAGGACAAAGGATACGGCACACCCAGACGAAAAAAAAAAACAAAGGCACTCCCTTATTATTATTAGATAATTAGGTCCACTTACAGGAATTTCTTGAAGAACTTGTAGAAAGCGACCAGTAAATAAACAATTGTGGAAATGAGCTTCATTGTGAAATGCTCTCTTTGTTTATGTTAATTGTATTAATTGACGTGGATACCGAGGTTAAAATTAACTAATTAGAGGCGGATCGAAAATGCTGCTTCAATCAAAGTTTACTTTGCATCGAAACAAAAATTTAGAATTTTGGAATTTTTGTAACAGGTTCGATTGCTGGCCGAATAAAAAGTAACCACGCTCCCGTAAAATTCGGTTAATATTTCACTATCAATGTCATTTCCGCGTCGAACACGTTTTTCACTCTAAGCGGCCGCCACACAAAAAACACCGCGAAGATAACGCTTTCCGTGACGTAGAAGACAACTGAGTAAGAGCCAAAGAGAGAGTGTATGAGAGAGAGAGAGTGTTCAGCTGAGAGTGAGAGTGACAGACGGATTGAATTAGTATTGGTGCAAAGGTCACGACAAAAACTAAATGCTCTACACATTTCGAATTGTTAAACGTTGTTTTGTAATTTGTATTTTTATATAAAGCTTTATATGTTTAGACCAAGGTGAAATTTACAGAAGAAAGCATTAAAAAAAAGAATAAGGAATGTAAAACTATGTTATAATTTGTTTTCTAATTAATTTTGTTCTAATTAATTACTCAAATAAATATGTTTGCTACTTGTGTTTAGGCTTCCTATTGCTATTATAAGTCTAAATTTTTAATTTAGCTATTTTTAATTTAGTATGTGAGAAATATATATTAACTTACAGAAATACTTCAAATAACGGCCCCAAAAAGATTTACTATTATAGTTCTTATTTCGAAAAATATACCAGTTCTTGAGTTAAATAAATGTATATAATTAAATGAACCTGAAAAAAAATTAATTAATTTGAAGTAACAACCAAATATATTTAAGGCTTAAACTATATACTCGCTCTGGTAGGGTATACAGACACGTCCACTTGTTGTGAGCGGGGCAATAAACTTTTGTGTGGGCGTAGCAAAGAGAACCGACTGTGAACTAGAGGCTAAAGAGAGAAGGTTTATCATAAGCTGACCAAAGAGAAAAATTAAGCTAAGAAAGCTCTTGGATTTCATCAGCTGTGACAGAGCTTACGACATGCTTGTAAAATATGTAAAAAAGCACAAATTTAATAAACGAATTTACAACAGAAACTTAACAATAACAGCGAGCGTTTAACATTACAGATAAATGCTTTGAATTTTAAATTCGAAGTTCGACGTTTCCTTATAGCATTATATATAAATGCACATATATTCCTTGATCAATCAATAGTTGGAGGGTCTATAGTCGTAGGCAGGTCCCATGCGAACGGATATGTAGGCGGGGTCATTAAGACGCTCTTTCATTAATCTGAAATAATGAATAAAATTAGTATTAAGTTGTTTTTGGATTAAAATTCAATAAAATAGATTTTTTTTTATATTTTAATTTGTCTAAAATAAAGAAAAAACTAAGTATTAACTTTGAATAAATGTTATATTTTAGATTTAGACTTAATACTTAGTAAAACTGAAAGACATCGTTTTATTACTCATACGCAGTGTGAACATTTACTTCAAAGACTTTAAAAGGTATTTTCTTTATATTGAATTGTGTTAGTTATCAACTAAAACGGATATATTTAAAAATAAAAAACTTTGAACTGTTCTACCTATTTTTTTCCCCTACAATAATTTAAATTAAATATATAGTTTTATTACTCATACGCAGTGTGGACATTTACTTTAAATGGTATTTATTTCTTATTAAAATAGGTTAGTTATTAAGTAAAACTGATATTAAGTATATTTTTGAAAGGATTAATATAATATGAAGTAAATTATTAAGTTTCTTCATCTTATTCCTACATAAGAATCGCCTCCCTAATGCTTTATCTCCTAAATCTCCTTAGGTCATAGAGGTCCACTCTAGCTTTGTGTACATAGGCGAACCTTGAGGTAAACAATAACAATGGAAATATTGGGGCTTATCTAGCCACTCTTCTGTATTCTACGAATATACTTATTCTTGACTTCTATAATACCTTTTATCTGCCTCGCTTTCGCAGCTGTTATAGCCTTTCCGACGCGCCGATTTATTGAGACGCAACGATCGTCGCAGCTCTTTGGGCAACGGTTTGTTCGTCTCGCGTCTGAGAAGGTTCCCGAACTTTTGACACTTCTCCGCCAGGTTGTGCCACACCAAAAGGATCAAACGCTGGTGGCGACGACGCGGATATGAGGTGGATGCACCAGTGGTGCCGCAATCCCTTAGCTCGGTGGTGGAGACAACCCACGACGACATGCTGAAACTAACTGATTTCTCAGTGGGTCTCAGTGAAGAGCCACCGGCCGGCTGGCCACTTGGCCAACTGGCCATTGATTAGATTCCCCGGGCGGTAATCGAAGCAAATCAATGACGAGGCAACCAAGTGCCGGATATAAGAGACGGAGGCAGAGGCAGAGACTATATAGTCGGAGTGATTGAAGCTGAAGCATTGGCAGCCTAAATTAGCACCGCAATCGTATTGCTTGGCATTTCGCAAAAACTCAATAATTCTGTGTGTTTTGCAAAAGCGGAGTCAGAGTCCCACTCAACGAGTATATCCTGCTCGAGGCCTGGGGACCTTTCCATTTTTGATTTCAAATTGAAAACCCAAATGTTACACAAAACAAAAAACAAGGGAAAGCAGTAGGATTGCTTTAAGAAAATTTCAAGTTATTTTAAAAACATATCTTAAATTTTGATGGGTTTAAGAATAAAGTAATTGTGTTTTATTTATTTTCTTTTAAATGTTATAGATGTAATTTTTCTTCAGTGCACAATTTCTGTTGCAGTTATGAATTTTTGCCATTGCAAATTTTCAATAAAAGTCCCTTTTCGATGTCCTGCGTGACACCTAACCCACACACACACACCCTTTGGGCCCCCGTCGTTGGGCGGAAATGTAAGGGATATGCCCATTGAGAGCAGGTCCTGTAACAAAATACAAATAGATGCGTTCAGTTGGCTCCCATGTGGCCAACACCTAGGGACATTTTTGGGCGCCGCCCACTGTTCCTCTGTCTCATTTTGGATCCTTCTTCCCTTTACCCCCACAATTCTAGCCGTGGCTGTGGCTGTGGCTGGGCCGAGGCTGTGGCTATCGTGTCCCGGCCCCATTGGCCATTAGGGGTCCCAGGGTCTATTGGCCAGGCCCTGGGTATCGACAACCGAACAAAATTGCATGCGGTCGGACACAGTTTGCATGGGCTGGTGGCCAAGGATCGTCGGAGAGGTCAACTGCATTGTTATAACGAAAATACGTTTATTGCCATATTGTTGGATTTTGATTTTGTCTTTGGAACAACAATGAAAATGGGTTCCCATCTCGGGTCCTATATTTTGATTCTGTCTATGAGTTTCCTGGCGGCTCCTTGCTGTGAAGTTCAATTATCTGCAGGATTGCATTGTCATGGTAGGTTTCTATGTGCAAAGAACTTAGTCTACTTTTTTAAAGTAAAACTTGCGGTTTTTGGTAGGTTTATATTGGAGTTTAATTCAGTAATTTGTAGAAAATCGTAGGTATTAGGTGGAATACAATGAGATATCTTAAAAATATAATGTTTAGATCAAAACATGACTGTTTTAGATAGGTTTATATTGGAGTTTAATACAGAAATTCATAGATAATCCTAGGTATTAGGTGAAATATAATGAGATATCTTAGTTATAAGGTTAGGATCAAAACATGACAGGGATAAATATCTTGTAAATACTTTACTATCTTCAGCAGAACTAAAATTCTTATAAAGGCAATCCTTAAAATATCTGAAAAATATTGAATTCGTACTAGAGACTTTTAATAGAAATTTTAATAATTCTTTATGCTTATTCTGAATCTGTAATAATTAAAATAAAATTGAAAAACATTTGTAGCGATTTAAACTGTACTATTCCCTTGACTTGCAATGGAAAGGCAACCAAAAAGGCTTAAACAATTAGCAAATAGTTTCCCCAAGTCGCTTATAACTAACCCTTATAGATTGAAAAATTCACTTAAAAATGCATTTAAACAATCTTTACCATTCTATACTAATTCCTGCAGCCTCTATGCTCTTTTATTGATCTGAAAAATGAGCAAAGAAATCAGATGACAGCAGGCAGCTGCAGGTCACAGTCTCGACCTGCTCCTTCCCTGCGACAGGATTTGTGTCAGCATACCTGAGCACATTCTGGACTTCCATGCCGAGCAGGAATGCTTTTTAAATTCCATTTAAATGCTACAAAATACCGTGTTGCCGAGGGAGTTCCCTCGACAGTCGGCAGTAAACATAACTTCGAATCTCTGTGTTCATGGCCGTTGGTGAGTCTAAGGATGATGATGCTTTGATAGCAAAATTGAAATGCAATAAAGGCCAATAGCATATTTATTTGGATATTACTTGTTCGATGGACTCTCTCCTCTCCGCTTTCATTGCCATTTTCCCTCAATCGTCGCTTTGTGGACTGCACTTTATTAAATTTTCAATAAACTACAAAGCGAGTTTACATTTGTTTGGCTTTTGCATCTGAATATCTATGGTATTCCCTTGGCCTCCCTTGACATCTGTGAACGCTTATTTATGTGCTCCGCAAAAAGGGGGAATATTTTGGCAATTTAAATATTTTGTATATTTTTGCAGTAATTCACTTCGGCTTACCGTTCTGCAATGAAATTCTGCAAAATATGCAAATAAACTGTTGCACTTACTCGAATCAATCAATTCGTTCCGTCGGGTCTTATACACGCCTATTTCAACAGCATCCAGAACAGATTTGATATGTTAATACTTTGTGGAATTATAGGTCAAAGGAGTACTATATGCCTTGTTTTGCAATCAGATGGAATTTAGTTGTCCTTGATGAAAAGTAGTCCAAGTTAGCTTGAATTAATCCACATAAATCGAAACCAGATCTCGGTTTGTTAAGAGATATATGAAATCAATAGTTAATTAGAAGTATTAACTTGACTTATTATGAAACAGATAAAAACTGAAAAGAATTATATGAACATATCTTAGAGTCTTGTTAACTATAAAGTTAAATGAATCCTTCATTTTATTAAAATATTTGCAAATTTAGTTTGAAATAAATGTCTGTATGACAATAAGGCAAGTAATAATTACTGCAAACAAAACACTTACTTATGCAAATTATAAGAAAATCTCAACTTAAAATATAAATTTAAGAGTTTTTTTTGGTAACTTTTTTATTTAAGTTTAATATATATTTTTTTTAAGTTTTCTGATAGAAATGTTAGCTTAAAAGTTTGCTGCGACATAAAATTGATTTTTAACAAATATATTAAAGCTCTCAATGTATATTGAATACTAAAAGACTCAAATATGGTTCCCTTTAAAATTCATATTTAATATTTTGATTTATATATTTCTGAGGTTAATGTTCGTTATAACTTTACCATTTTCGTCTCCTCTTTTCTGATTAATACTTTTATTAAGGCTTTAAATGATGTATTAAGGGAACTTTCTCATTTAAAATTTCTTGGAAAACTTTCCTTTATTTGTAACAAATTGATGTATGCTATGATGTTGAATTTAAACTAGCTTTTAAAAGAAAATTTAATGAATTAAATGCCTTGTCATTACCTTTAACCATATAAAAAAATGCCTTATGGTATGGAAATTCAGTTTTTGAACTATAGTTTCAAGTATACTTTTAGGAATACCACAAATCGGAACTGTCTTTCGTATAAAAAAGCATGAAAATTATATTTCATTCCAATTATACTCCCCATTAAGATTTTTCATCTGTTCCAGCAGACCCCTATTTTTGGTATGTTTGAGAATGGATATTAACATTGTATCATCCGCGAGTCTTCCATAAAGTCATATCTTCTTTGTTGTTTACATATTTAAATACTAAAAAATCTTATAGGAATATAACGTACTTACACTTACACTTACCCACATCTACTTTCTTGTGGCTAATCTAATGTGATTACTACAATTAAAACCTTTTTTACAGATTAGAAATTATTCAAATTGAAACATATGCCTGAATCAAGCTACTCCAAAAATTAAGTTTTCTCATTTGACGCCCTTTAAGTATGATTTTTTCCTCCTATTTTTTTTGTTTGTCCTTGGTGTACCCATTCCCATTTCCTTTCCCATTTCGCATCCATCGCATTAAGGGGCCAACAACTGGCGGGCGAGATAAATGTATGCCCAATGCTGATGTGCATGCAAATCTCCATTTTTGGACGATTGTCAAAGCCGAAAAACTGGGTGGCTTCGCCAAAGTGGGTTGGTTGTGGGTGGGTGACTGTGGGCCCAGCCTGGTAGACAGATGTCAAGACATCAGGCTCTCTTCTATGTATTCGTGGCTTAACATATGCGGCCCCAGCTGAAAAAGTAGGGAGGATATGGAGAATAAGGGGCAACTACATGAGCGCATTACAAGCACTAACAACAACGATGGTGGGGCCAACAAAAATGTTTGCAAAAAAATACAAGAAATAAGAAAAAACCACAAATAAGATCTTATTGGAAAAAGGAAACGAACACCTAATACCCTGTAATAGGTTTGTATACAAATTTTAATACTTCTCATGTATTGAACGCAACGAAAGCTCTCTAATTGTGTGATCCTGAAGGTTATAAAATCTCTCCTTGTTCCCTCCATTAAATACAATTACGTGTACATAATATACCCTTAAACACAACTCGTTTTGGGGGTAGCATAAAAAGACAACGAAAAATGGAAGAAAAACAAATGAAAGTTTATGTTATAAAATGCCAAAGTGCGGTGGCACAATCTATTGGCGAGAAACAACAGCAGCAACATCAATGGACAAAGAGATGTCGTGGTATGGTGCAGGCATAAAATAGCGTATATAAGATAAAGGATATGTCCCAGACCCCCAACACTATACCATTCCCCCTCCTTTCCCAAAAAAAGTCCGTGGTGTCCCAGTTCTAGTGTGGGCCAGGATGAAAATTGTAGCAAAAGTCAACATATGGCGTTAAAGATGCGAACGTGCAGCGAATCCTTGAAGTTTTTTGCCGAAATCCATTCCCTCCATTGTGTACTTCCATAGTTGCCTCTTCAAAATTTTAGAATCTTTAAATTTTTGTAGCTCTAAATTGTTTAGTTTTTTTTAAAAGATTTTGTTGAAAAACTATTGTTTAGGCCTTGTTTATTTTTATTTTATTTGCATGATATCATGATATCCTAATTAGTTTTTAATATTTTCCAGCTTTTTTTTCATATTTCCAATATGGTTTATTTTCACATATCGATACTACAAATGTCGATTTAAATTT